TTTCATGCGATGTGCTTCATTAAATAATGTGCCCGTAGAATCCTTCAGTATTGCAAGCTAAGGATTGAATTTATTCATCAGCTCTTTCAGCTTTAGAAATATTGAACATGCTCTTCCCTTTTGGTTTTCTAACTCCAGGTCTTTGCCCATTTCTTTATAATACTTGACTTTATCTTCTCAAGCTGCCCTTTGAAATTTCCCGTTCAGATATTTTGCTTCCTTTATTTCTTCCATTTGCTTTAGCGAGTTGTAAGAATAGAACAAATGGATACGGAATTGTGTAAAACCAGGAAAGGTTGTGTCCTGTCACATTTCACAATCACTTTTCCGAGTCTGTTTTGACATCGATTTTGGTCCTTTCTTTCTTTCCTTGCTTTTTCATGACCTTCTGCTTCTGTCTTCTATGATGCTCTGCTGCCATGCCACTCTTTTGATCTGCAGTCATTAGTGTCTAATGAATCAAACCAGTTCTTGAGATGGTCTGTAAATACAGGTGGGACATATACAGTGCTGGCTCTCATGATCTTGTTCTCATTTTCCTCTGTTTCAGTCTGAACTTGCATATTAGTTGATGGTCAAATCGACTCTCTCTGTGGGAAGAGGCTGTGGTATAGCTTCCAGTATCATAATACACAAGTCAACTTAGTTCCTGCAATTAAATTTCTGGAGGCACTCCCCTTTCTAACAGACCTCCTGCCCAAAGCCACTCATCTTTCCTTTATTTGGGAAGCCTGCTGCTCTGTCTCATGCTTTGCCTCTTGGTTTTGCTGCTTCTCCTCCTGTCACTCCTCTGATGTCACAACTTTCTGTCTGTGGGTCGAGGAGGTTGGATGCCTAGGAACCGCAGGGTCTAAAGCATGTGCTCCACTCCTGGCTCTTTTTCTTTCAGGCTAGTGAGATTTCCCCCTTCTGCCTCTGAAATGGTCATTGTATACCCCTAGCAGAGTTCTGAGTTTTCACAATTAACCATGTTAACAATCACTTGCCCCTGAATTATATAATCCATCAGTATCTTCTCTCAACTTCTTTTATCCAGACCCATCAGAAAAGGTCATTTGATGGGAGTTTACAGACTGTGGTCAGAAGAGCTAGTATATTACATAATGCAGTGTATTACAGAAGCATGTTGTTGTTGTTGCTGTTATATGTCCGACTCACAGCGACCCTGTACAGGGTTTCCGAGGCTATATATCTTTACGGGAGCAGAAAGCCTCATCTTTCTCCCATGGAACAGCTGGTAGTTTTGAACTGCTGACCCTGAGATTTGCAGCCCGATTCGTTACCACTACGTTACCAGAGCTCCTTATATACAAAAGCATAGGGACTTAAAAAAAAAAAAAAAGAACCCCTGGTATCTCAGTGTGTTAAGCACTGGGATGCTAAATAAAAGGTTAGTGGTTTCAACCTACCAGCCCCTCTGTGACGGACTATATGGCAGTCTGTTTCCATAAAGATTTACAATCTCAGAATACTATGGTGCAGTTTGACTCTGTCCTACAGGCTCTTATGAGTCAGATTTAACTTGATGGGTGTGGTTTTAGTTTTTTAATGGGTGTAAAAGCAAGTCCTAGTGTGGTGCTGTTGGATAAGCCCTGGACTACTAACTGGAAGGTTAGCAGTTCAAAATCACCAACTGCTCCTTGGACACTTCCTTGGAAACAGGGTCGCCATGAGTTGGATTTAACTCATTGGCACTTAACAACAACAACAACAGCAACAAATGTCTTATGGGAGAAGGTCTATGGGGAAATGGTCATAGGAAATTGGATACAGTGAGTAGAGACATTTTTGAGAACATAGTCTGTAAGGTTAAAGAGAGGAGTAGAGCATTAGCTGCAGTAGAGAAGGGGAGGTCCCCAAAGGGCTTTTAAGACAGGAGAAATAACAGGGTACATGTGTGTCAGGAAGAAGGACCAAGTGGAGAAAGGACATTGGTGAGCTATAGGAAAGAGGAATGAATTGCCGGGTGATTTCCTTGAAGAGGAGAGAGGGGACAGTTGGTTGTTCATTCATGAAAACAGAAGGCAAAGTGGTGTGCGTTGGTGCTGTTGGAGGTAAGTTGACAATAGAAATCTGGAGAAGCTCTCTTCTCATTGTTTCCATTTCCTAAAAAAAATCGAAGAAAAAAAAAAAAAAAGGAACACAGTCATTAGCTACAAGTGAGGATGGAAGAAACTAGAAGTTTGGAAGTTGTTATTTGGGAACAGGGAAGAGGAAAATGATGAGGACTACCTTTTATTGTTATTGTTATTGATGAATAACAATAAAAGTCCTCTTACTATCAAGTCCTGTATTTAAATGAGACCAGTGAACACAGTTGGAAAGCTCCCAACTGGGCAAATTTAACTATGTGCTTGCTATAGAAAGAGGGGAGTCCTGGTATAGTACTGTGGGCTAATGCATTGGACTGCAGTCAGTTTGAATCTCAAGGTTTCTGGTTCAAGGTATGGGTCAGAACCGATTTGATGGCACTTAACAACAACAAATAGGGAAAGGGTGCTTCAACCATGGCTAGGCATTGTGCTGTTGGTGTTAAGTGACTTCAAGTTGGTTCCAACTCATAGTGACCCTATATAGGGTTTCCAAAGAGCAGCTGGTGGGTTTGAACTTCTGACCTTGTTGTTCACAGTCCAGTGCCGATGCTACAGTGCCACACCAGGAGTCCTGTGGTAGCAGCAGGAAAACAGAGATGAGCACAATACGTGTGCTATATAGCTTTGTCCCTTGGTGATGCAAATGGTTTGCACTTTGTTATTAACCAACAGGTTGGCAATTCAAATCTACCTCCTGGTGCTGTGAAAGAAACATTCCAGTCACTGAAAAGTCTGTGTAGCGCTTCTACTCTTAGACACGTGGGGTGGCTACTAGTTGACATTGACAGCAGTAGGTTAGTGATTTGTCTTGTTTGGTTTTTGTTCTCGTTTTAACCTTCCTTAAGGAATTGGAGAAGGAGCTCTGGTAGCATAGTGGTTATGAATTGGGCTGTGAACCTTAAGGTCAGCAGTTCGAAACTACCAGCTGTTCCACGGGAGAAAGATGAGGCTTTCTGCTCCCATAAAGATTTATAGCCTCAGAAACCCTGTGCAGGGTCACTATGAGTCGGTTCCGAATCCACAGCACATAACCACCACTACCACCAAGGGACTGTAGAGTTGTGGGTTGATAGACCCATAACCATCAAAATGCAGCCCAACAGGGTCAATGCTAAGAGGGCTATGGCTACTGGATGGCATGAAATCCGAGGAAAAGGTTCTCAGCCCAATCCGGGGCTGTATTGTATTTGTGGGGAGCATACATGACTGAAAATAGTATGAATTGTCTCAACTCATGATAATCTTATATCTAGGAGAATGAAATTTTGCTCCATCCTCTACCATCTTCATGATTTTTGGCATGTTTGAGTCTAACAGGAGAAGAATTCGGTTTGACCCCTAGGGTTTTCATTGGTTAATATTCAGAAGCAGATCACCAGGCTTTTCTTCCTAGTCTGTCTTAATCTGGAAGCTCTACTGAAACCTCTCCACCATGAGTCACCCTGGTGGGCATAGCTTTCAGCAGCACAGCAACACGCAGGACAAACTGACAGATGGGTGGTGGGGAGCAAGTATAGAAAAGGGATTTATTAGAGTCAGGTAAAGAAAGATAGCAAAGTATTCTCTCTGGAAGAAACTCCAGGAATCAGAGTTAGACTGGTGAAGTCGAGACGGATTTGCCATGTGGCACAATATGACGGAAAGTGAACCTTCCTGGGTGGGCTAGAAAACGGACGTCAGCGCTATTTGGGTAGAAAGACTATGGCGACAATGGAGTATAGGAAGGGCTGTGGAAGGGGAGCCTTAGTGATGCGGGAATCATGAGCTGGGAATCAGGTACATTTACAGTGGTCAGTACATCAGGTGGGAAATGCTGGGTCTGACGTTAGGTCTGTGGTCACAGGACTGGGGAAGCAGGAATCAATATGAGATACAATTGTCATGGCTGAGTGAGTTTTTTGAATGTGGAGGCTGATGCATCTTGCTTTTGAACTCCATTCCTTCACTGCAGAAAATTCCCTAACTTGAGTCAGGCATTTAACAACATGTGCATCATTGGTGGCAGGGAAGGCAGGGTGGAATAATATGGATAGTTGGTTTACTCTTAGTGTTATTGAAATACATACAGTTTTGTTAGAAAATCCTTCGTCTCTACTTTGAATCCAAAAGATAACCCATGTATTCATTCTGTATATGTTAATAATTATATGTGTGTGATTTGTAAACAAAATAAAAATTGAGCAGGTATGTTTTGTGTTGTTTTATGTGTTAGGTAAGTGGCTGTGTCCCAGTTTTACTTAATGAAATTTAGATGAAATCAATGAAATGGTTATATGATTAGATGGTTAGAGGCTTTCCAAGGAATTGTTGTTGTTGTTAAGTGCCGTCAAGTCGGTTCCGACTCATAGCGATCCTGTACAGGGTTTCCGAGGGTGTAAATCTTTACGGGAGTAGAAAGCCTCATCTTTCTCCCGCGGAGCGGCTGGTAGTTTCGAACGGCTGACCTTAAGGTTCGCAGCCCGATTCGTAACCACTACGCTATAGCGCTCATTATTGTGATGTAGAAGAATGGACCGATCAAGAGCGGGCCATGCAGAGAGCCTTGCCTAGCCCTCTAGTTCTACAACTAATGCTGGGTAGGTCATTGAACTTCTTTGTGGTTAACAAGCACGTGTTAGCATACCATACTGGAGTCCTTGGCTGGTACACATTCTGCTGCTAATTGAAAAGTTAGGTTGGTGGGTCAAGGTCACCCCGAGGTGCTTCTGGCCTGAATCCACGCAGAAACAACTCTTGTGTTTTCCTCCTGTATCTCTTGGGCTTGATATGGGGATAAGAATATTAATAAAAGCACATGGATAATTTTAAGAGACATGTATATGTATATTGATTTCTAAAAGTACTGAAGATTATTTATTGAAATTATGGTCTGACTACATCCTCCCCTTTTTGTTTCTCCTTGGACAGTGTAAAGAACATGACTTGGCCATGATTAACCAGCTGCTGGATGATCCGAATTTAACAGCCAGGAAATACAGGGAATGGAAGATCACGAACAGTCTGTTGATTCAGGATATCTACCAGCAGCAGCGGGCCATACCAGCCCCTGAGGACAATCCCCAGGAACTTGAGAAACAACCCTTCTCAACCTGTGTCGAAAGTTCTATTTGAGAACAAGCCTGGATTCTCTTCTCCTCTGTCCCATGCAACTCTCCAAGACATTGCAAGATCTTATGTTTTTCCTTAAGAGAAAAGCAGAAATCCATCTAAAGATGGAACTCAGGTGAAGATCATCATTAAATACATCAGCCCTCCTAGTTCTGGTTGCAAGGAACCCATGGAATGATTGAGTTCAGTTGAGCAAAGGATCTTTCTGTTCCTATGAGGAAATTAAGGTTATACCAGGATCTAGGTGGGCTTTGAGAAATGTATTTTCTGTTCCTGGCTTTCAATTTTATTCTAACATTCTATCAAAAAAATTGGCCAGGGGTAGTGATTCATAGAAATCTTCTGTGTTTCATAGAAGATTGTACATATTACACCTGATTGGGTAGCTGCAGTCCCCAAATCTTTTTCTTTTTCTTTTTTTTGAGTGGAGGAATGAACTGGAGAAGAACAAACATGGTATTCGGGAACAAACCCTTCGCTGTTTGTTACAGAAAGGTGGTGCGTTTTCCACTTGTTAGCAAACACTTCACAGAGAGAATACAAGAAGGAGGCATAGTCTCTGTTGCAGCCCCTCAAAGGACAGCTTGATGTTTCCACACTTAACTCAGGTGGGGGAATCCCATGAATGTCTCCTACCCATCAAACACCAAAAGAAAAGCATCTTATTATACCTGGAGACCTCCTCACCCTCCAAACTCTTCTATACAACGTTGGGATCGTAGTAAACCTAGCATGAAGTGTTTGTATCTTCCGTCCTAAATCCAGATTCATGGGAATCCATTTTGCAAAGCTACTTCTGGTGTCTGAATTTGTTTAATACCTTCATTTCAAAAAACAACAGAATAGTTAAAATTTAATTGTCTTATTTTTGTATAGTTATGTGTCCGTTTGTATCCTATGTGAACAGATACCTTTCTATGTTTGTTATTTAAGTATATTTATAGAAGTTCAAATTACTTGTGTTTTCAAAGATGATCTACTATTATATGTCTTAGTATATATTCTTGAAGTATATACTTTTTTTGCTTGAGAAATATAGGGATATAGTTAAGTTCTTATGTTGCACTCTAAGGTAAAGGAATGCTCAGGGGACCTTAAGGGATAAATTTGGGGGCATGCATTACTAATCTCTGATTTTCCCATCTCTCTCTCTTGCTCTCCTTCTCTCAACGTAGGGCTCTCACATTTGATTACTTGTTTTCAGTCACTCTCTTCCCTAGAACAGTGTTGTCCTCTTAGATTATCTCTTTTAAATTAATTTTCTTTCAAGCTTGAGGCCATGTTGTCTCACAAACCAGCGTCTCATGCCATCTCAAAACCAACTGAAACACAATCGACTAAGGAGTAATAGAAATGTGCTAAAGTAGAACTTACTGTGTTTGATGAAAAAAATGAGTCTTCACTTACTAATCATAATTATTTCTCACCAGGAGAATAACCACAACCCACTGAAAACCCATTTCGGCCCTACCCCTAGCAAACTGTCAACATAACATGTTCTGTTTGTAGTCAACATGTGGCTTGACATTCAAATGGAAAGAACCACCTAAATTTGATCTGCAAGCTAAATGGAAATGTTTGTTGACTATTTTCCCACAGTTTACTGAGAAGTTGTAATACTCTGTAAATAAGGAACAGACCTCACATTAAGAAAGAAACAAAACAGGAAGCAAGTTGTAGTGACAGAAGATATTCTGATACAAAAGGTCTGGCCTGCAGGCGTGCTGGACAAACATGCAGGCACTGGTGATTGTGGGAGATGTGGGGTGAGGTCATGGCCTGTACTGGCCCTGTTGTTCTGACCTGCATCTAGCATACGCAGATTCTCCAACTGGACTGTGGTGCTCTGGTTTGAGAGACCAGTGCTTTTATATTTTTACTCAGGAAAGTTATCATCCTGGTTAGCAGCTATTACAAGGTTGATTTTTAAGTCTTAACTAATGTAGAATTGAAGAAAGGAGCAATAATATGAAGGAAAGAATATTTGTCATCACTAGATGTGCTTTTAGCTTTTTTTTATCTTTGGTTTGCAGCACCAAGCTGTAGACCCCAAGACCCCCAAAATGAAATCTGCTGTAGAGTTGATTTTGACTCACAGAGACCCTGGAGTTGCAGAGTAGAACTGCCCCCACAGAGTTGAGTAGGTTGTAATCTTTACAGAAGCAGGCTGCCACATCTTTCTCCTGCAGGGGGACTGGTGGGTTTGAACTGCTAATTGTCTGGTTAGCAGTCAAGTTCCTTAACTCCTGCACCACCAGGACTCCTGACTGAAATATTGTTGTTTGGAAAGAGTTCTGAAAGTTCCGACTTGGGCTTGGGAATATATGTAAACGCTTTTCTTTGGCTTGTCAAGAATACACATCTAATAGCTTTTAGGTGCAAACTCTCTTCTTAGTACCACTCAAATATCAAGTTAAAATAGGTCCAGGAGATGTCTTAACCAGATCTTTCAAACAGTTCATTTCAAGAAACTGACCTAGAAGTGTTGAATTTGTTTGTTAGGCTCGCTGGTTTGTAGAACCATCCCAAATGAAAATTACACTGAACTGCCCAGTTGTGTGCCCCCATTTACTTGTGTTTTCCCTGAGGAAATACTCTTGTTCTGTACTCCCTGGTGTTAGGGAGGGGGCGGCTGCTGCTGCGAGTCCCCAGCCACGGTGGTGGTGGCTACTAATGGACAAAGACTGGGAGGAAGAATGGATGCCACTTTCTATGGAAAGAACTCAAGTTAGGAGCAACCTGGGTAGTCAGTCCTCTTGGCCTTAAGCCATTTTTCTTGTCCAAAGGATAGTGGGAAAAACTGGGATACTCCCAGTTTATTCCTGGGGATTGGGCCATGTCTGAAGTGAATTTTGGGTAGTTTCATGAGTCTAAGGTGAGACTCCTCTAGTTACTTGAATAGCCATAGTGTTTGGGGAATGTGACAGGACGCAAAGCCACGGCTGCTCAGGAAGGAAGGAGAGTCTTTGTCCAAACCTGTGACACTTCTTTGGGGTTCTGGAAAAGATTGTTCTTTTTTAGCCTGTGGACCCCACTATTTGTTATATATGCAATGCACATTGAATTGGATGGTTCCATGTTTGAGGGGCCTCTGCAACTTTTAAAAATTCTACCTTCTGCCCCAACAGCTTAAATTTCAGTCTCATGAGTCTAGAAAGACTCATAAACCATGCATTACCAAGACTCTGGGAAGGAAGCCCAAGGAATGCTTGGAGTCAGGTTTCAATGTGAAGTGATGCCTTATATTCACACAGCACTTTATAGTTTGCAAAGCTCCCTCTCCCACCCCTACCCCTATGTGTCTCCTGAAGTGGCCCTGGGGGGAGTGACTCCTTTTCTCAGAGGGAGGACACAAGCTCTGCACAGTGATAGGCTGTGCTGTGTAGGATCTCTGAGCCTGAGACTCCTGCCCTGGGCCCCTCTCACTCCCACCAGGCTGTGCAGTGGCTGCTGGGGCCAAACCCATGGGAACCCAGTTCGCTTGGCCTGGCTGGTAATCCATGGAGCTGAAAATGGCACACACTGAGAAGGTGGTTTTTGGCTAATTGGAAACCTGGAAGGGACCTCTGACCACCATAATCAAACTCTTAGCCATCAAGTGACTCATGGCAACCCCAGGTGACAGAGTAGCTCTGTTGGTCCCATAAGGGTTTTCTTGGCTGTAATGTTTATAATAGCAGATCATCAGATCGTGTTCTCAGCCTAGGGTGGCTTTGAACCTAATAACCTTTCAGTTACCAATTGAGAGCAAACCTTTCACACCACCCAGTGGCCATCCGTGATCACAGTCTTTTCCCTCTTCCCAACTGGCTGCCTTCCCTCCACAGACACCCCCATGGGCGATCTGAATTGGTTTGCTCTGTGCCTCTTTTCTTTTCTGCTGTAAATTGTATTGCTTGTTAGGAGCTGTGAGCCCTTTGGGTGAAAATGATTATGTTTAAAGAAATGGACAGTGTTATGTCTGGAGATGTCAGGCACTGAACTTGAATCCAGTTATGACATTTTCTTCAACTAGTCTATAGATCACAAACTAGGAGCTCTGGTAATGTAGTGGTTACGAATCGAGCTGCGAACCGTAAGGTCAGCAGTTCGAAACTACCAGCTTCTCCGCAGGAGAAAGATGAGGCTTTCTGCTCCTGTAAAGATTAACAGCCTCGGAAATCTTGTGCAGGATCGCTATGAGTTGGAACTGACTCCACGGCACATAACAGCAACAACAAATGTCATACAGATGGAACAGGTAGAAAGTACACATGTTTTAAGTCTTTTGAAAGAGGGGCTAGAGAAATTCATGCTGTACTTAAATTCATGGACGAACACCTCTGTTTCAAATACTTTCACTGAGTGTTGATATTTAACTATACCCACGCAGAGGATGTTATGAGTAATTCAGGCTCAAAGGAAGCCACTGTGTGTTGAAAAGCTGCCACATCCTAATGTTAGGATGTCACCTCAGCTTCCACCTCAGAGGATATGATGTTAGATTGGGCTTTCCCTGATTTAGTCCACTTCTGATATTTCTATGTATTGACATTGCAAGAGGAACTAAAGTCCATAAATGTGAGATGATCACTCGACCAGTTTTGAAATATACAATACGAAAAGCCACTGAGCCAATATTTTTACAATCCACAGTGACTGGGGAGTGAACATAAGTCCACCCCTCACAGAAAACCATCCATATCTTTGTGGACACCATATTGGGCAGTTACTTTTTCTTCATGATATGAGACCAAGAGCCTGTACCCAACCTGCTTGCACATCTACATAATTCCTGCTTTGCACCCGAACTTCTCCCCTATGTTCCCACAGTACCTCATTGAAACATTGTAAAGGGAGTCTATATTTTTAAAAAAATAGTTTTCGCATTCTCTGTGAGGGAATTTATTTAAGTTGCTCTGTGTTGCTATTTCTTATCTTTAGTCCAAAGGGGAAGCATGCCTCATGGAGACATTCAACATCCCATAATATAATCCAGGATTTGTACTCTTCAGCTAGTTTAA